CTTCCTTCCTTCCTTCCTTCCTTCCTTCCTTCCTTCCTTCCTTCCTTTCTTCCTTTCTTCCTTTCTTACTTTCTAGATGTAACAAAGTCCATTGTGAATGGAAGAGGCAATAGTGAGAAACTGGTAGTTTGGCTACATTTACCCAGATAACTGTGGTATAAGGCATAATGTGTTAAGTGGTAAAAGGCGAGTATCGCTAGGGTACTGAAGGCAAAGCTAGGAGGAAAGGTGAGAGTAACTAGGAAAGTGTCTTGAGTACCTTAAAGAACTGAGTAATAGATGAAAGCCTAGGGAAGAGAATATTCCTGGAGTTTATAAGAGAAAGTGGTCTCTGATATAACTTTACAGAAACTTGACAGGAAATGAAGCTTCATGGGAGGCCATGTGGTAGAGTGGTTAAGAGTGTGAGTTCTAGAGCTGGGCCATCTAGGTTCAACCCCAGCACTGTCTCTTGGTGCTGTGTGACCTTGGATGTACCTTTCTGACAATACAGTGTAAAATGGGGATGATCGTAATGATAAGACCTACCTAAGAGAATATATGCATGTATGAAATAAGAATATTCAGGCAAAAGGTTTGGATTGCTATTTGATGTTAAGAAAGTGCTCAGTACACGTTAGCTACCTAGCAACTTTTATTGTATGTTTTCCTTTTTCTTTATAACCTTGTAGCTATGTATTTTTAACCCATAGAATTGTACCTCTTGAGGCAGCATCAACCAAATTCAGAGGACTCAAGAATACTTTTATAACATAGATCACTTACAGGAATTAAGGAGCTGCAACAACCGCTTGGATTAAAGTTGACAACAAAAGTTAATCTCCTTTTAATTGTGAAATGTGACAAAAGTAATACATTGTAACACGATGTGACAGTAGTAAACATTGAATAATAGTAAGTGTGTTTCAATTGTATGATTAGACACCTGACAAATCCTAGGTGCTATCCAGGATATCATATATAGGTAAACAATACTCGTGCTTCAAAAAAATGAACGTAAGTGCATTTATTTAGTGCCCTTTGATGCAAATGCTTAGAGTCTTCTGACACAGTACACTGTTAATTATAATTTATCAGACAATACTATGTAAACATGTTTAGTATTTTTCACATATTTTTTAATGCTGTAGACAAAAAAATATTATCAAGCTCAGGGTTTCCTCTCTACTCCTCCAAACCTATTTTATGCACAGGGTGCATTATTGGCCTTAGGAAAGAGAGTGATTGGTTGAGCTCACCCTTTTCCTTCCTTTTTTTTTTTTTTTTTTGACTGCAGGTAGTGGGCAGCAGTCAGTGACAGGTGTAACCTCTGTGGATGACAGCAATAGTTACTGGAGGATACGGGGGAAGACCGCTACAGTGTGTGAGAGGGGAACCCCCATCAGATGTGGCCAACCCATCCGGCTGACACATGTCAACACTGGCCGAAATCTCCATAGTCACCACTTCACCTCACCTCTTTCTGGGAACCAGGTGTGGTGGCATCCTGTGCATTACTCCATTGAGTGGTCTGATATCTGGGTTCTTAGCTCTTTCTTTTTTTTTTTTTTTTTTTTTTTTTAATTTTTTTTTTTTTTTCAACGTTTATTTATTTTTGGGACAGAGAGAGACAGAGCATGAACGGGGAAGGGGCAGAGAGAGAGGGAGACACAGAATCGGAAACAGGCTCCAGGCTCTGAGCCATCAGCCCAGAGCCTGACGTGGGGCTCGAACTCATGGACCGCGAGATCGTGACCTGGCTGAAGTCGGACGCTTAACCGACTGCGCCACCCAGGCGCCCCTTAGCTCTTTCTTTTTTAGGTGTAGCTGTTATTTTTGTACAGATCTGGAGAATTGGCTTTGTCTCAAAAGTGTTGAAGGACATTGTTTCTGGTCAAAGTAGAGATTGTGCATCTAGATGAAATCAAGAAATGAGGAAAGAATAGGTATATGTTAGCATATCATAAGTCACCTTGATAAATCCTGCAATAAAGAAGCCCAGTGTTGACACATGAAAAGATGCTGAACATCACTCATCATCAAGGAAATGTGAATCAAAACCACAACGAGATATCCTTTGTCAGAATGGCTACGATCAAATAAGAACAAGCGTTGGCAAGGAAGCAGAGAAAAGGGAACCCTTGTGCACCATTGGTAGGAATGCCAACTGGTGCAGCCACTGTGGAAAATAGTATGGAGTTTCCTCAAAAAGTTAAAAATAGAAATATCGTATGATCCAGTATTTCCACTACTATTTATCTAAAGAAAATGAAAACAATAATTTGAAAAGATAGATGTACCACTATATTTATTGCAGCATTATTTGCAATAGTCCAGATATGGAAGCAACCCAAGTGTACATCAGTAGATGAGTGGGTAAGAAAGATTTGGCATAGACATATATACACAATAGACTCAGCCATACAAAAGGATGAGATCTTGCCATCTGTGACATGGATGGACCTAGAGGGTATCATGCTAAGTGAAATAAGTCAGAGAAAGACAAATAGCATATGATTTCACTTATATGTGGGATCTAAGAAAACAAACAAAAAGCAGAGTCAGACCTATAAATGTGGAGAACAAACTGATGATTGTTGGAGAGGAAGGGAGTGGGGAGATGGGCAGCATGGGTGAAGGAGTGTGGGAGATAGCAAGCTTCCAGTCACAGAATGAATAAGTCCCTTTGACATGGATGAAAGCTACAGGATAGGGAATATAGTCAGTGGTATTGTAATAGCATTGTATGGTGACATGTAGTTACATACTTGGGGTGAGCATAACGATATATATAGACTTGTTGAATATACATCTGAAACTGATGTAACATTGTGTTTCCACTAAAAAAAAAACAAACAAAAGGAGAGCCTGGGTGGCTCAGTTGGTTAGGTGTCTGGCTTCAGCTCAGGTCATGATCTCACAGCTTGTGAGTTTGAGCCCCACGTCGGGCTCTGTGCTGGAGCCTGCTTCTGGATTCTCTGTCTCCCTCTCTCTCTGACCCTCCCTAGCTCGCTCTGTGTCTGTCTCTGTTTCAAAAATGAATAAATGTTAAAAAAAAAAATAAAAATTAAAAAAAACCAAAACAATGTTTTCCAAACTTTGAATAAAAATTATTATTTTAAATGATGCCAACTAACCATATTAGGAAAATGAATTAGGTATTGTGCCACTTTCTTATTTTTATTTTTCAAGTAATCTCTGTGCCCAGTCTGAGGCTTGAATTCATGACCCCCAAGATCAAGAGTTGCATGCTCTACTTAGTGAGCCAACCAGGTGCCCTAGTATCATGCTACTTTTTCAAGCCTTGAGCTTTTAGGAGATATGGACCCCTTAATGACTGCTTCCGTCCTACCCCCACTCTGCACATGGTTTTCCATACTAGCATCTTACATTAGGTAAATTTCATGCAGTCTATAAAGTAGTATTTTTTTTTTATTTTTTTATTTATTTATTTTTATTTTTTTTTTAATTTTTTTTCAACATTTTTATTTATTTATGGGACAGACAGAGACAGAGCATGAACGGGGGAGGGGCAGAGAGAGAGGGAGACACAGAATCGGAAACAGGCTCCAGGCTCCGAGCCATCAGCCCAGAGCCTGACGCGGGGCTCGAACTCACGGACCGTGAGATCGTGACCTGGCTGAAGTCGGACGCTTAACCGACTGCGCCACCCAGGCGCCCCTAAAGTAGTATTGATACATTGATTTTTTTAAAAATTCATTTATTTAGAGAAAGAGTGCTAGTGCCAGCAGGGAGGAGGGGCAGAAAGAGAATCCCAAGTAGGCTCCACACCCTCAGCACAGAGCCCAGCTGGGGGGGGGGGGGGGTCGAACCCGTGAAACGCGAGATCATGACCTGAGCTGAAATCACGGGTGGGATGCCCAATTCGCTGAGCCACTCAGGTGCCCCTTGTTATCAACCAGAGTCCAAGGTTTATTTTGATTTCCTTAGATTTTACCTACTGTACTTTTTCTGTTCCAGGACCCCATTCAGGCTACCACATGACATTTAGTTGTCCTGTCTCATGCTACTCTTAGGTGTGATACTTTCTCAAATTCTTGTTTTTGATGACCTTGGTAGTTTTGAGGGATGCTGGTCAAATGTATTATAGGGTGCTCCTCTAGTGAGCTCTGTCTGATCTTTTTGTCACAATAGATCAGATTTACAAAGGTTTTTGGGAGGAAGGCCACAGTAGTAAAGTGGCATTTTCATAACAGAGTCAAGGGTACATACGGAGCTGCATGATTATGTTGGTAATTGATTACCTTGCTGAAATAGTGTTTGTCAGGTTTCTCTAGTAAAGCTATTCTTCCTCCTTTTCATATTGTGTTTTTGGAAGGAGGTCACTATGCACAACCCACACTTAAGGAATGGGAGTTATACTCCCTTTCCCATAGAATAGAGTAGCTACAAAATTTATTTGGAATTCTTCTGCATGGGAGATTTGTCTCTTTTTACTTATTTATTCAATCATTTATTTATATCAGTATGGGCTCATGAATATTTTATACATTGATCTATGATCCCCTAACACTGCCTTTATTTTTTGCTCAAATTGTTCCAACTTTTGCCATTGGGAGCTCTTTCATTTGTCTCCTCCGTCCATTTGACATACTCCCATTTTTGTGTGTGTGTGTGTGTGTGTGTGTGTGTGTGTGTGTGTGTGTGTGTGTGT